GAACCTTAATGTAAAGTGAACACCTGTGAACCATTTATTAATGAGCTACAAACATTAGTAACATGCGAAAGCGAACCTTAATGTAAAGTGAACACCTGTGAACCATTTATTAATGAGTATTAAACATTAGTAACCAGTCAAAGTGAACTTTAATGTATTTATTGATTGATTGATTGATTGATTGATTGCACACACAGAAAAAGTTAGTATTTTCTGGTTAAATAAATTTTATTGTTGTTGCACTACATTACCAAACAACTTTCAAATTGAAACAAAAAGATTAATCTTTTCTTTTACAGCACACTGGAGCATTACTGAGCATAACTTCACACAAAAAAAAGTGGCTTATAAAAGTAAACTCACATTATAACTAAGCATCAAATCTATACAACAAAAACATTTGATAAATGCAAAATCAATAAAGGTTAATGACTGAAAGTACCATTACAAAACATTATCATATTAATAAGCAATCAGTAATTACTTTTTGATATCATGATAAAGCCCACTGTAACTTCAGTATTTGTTCATCCACACTCGCAGTAACGTTACCAGCGCACGAGCGAACCATCCGCGGCAGCGCCAGAGGTTATTTATTTGTATAGTAACTAATTAATTCAACTAGCAAAGCAATTACACATATAAACACTTAAAAATATACTCTGCAGTGTCACCTCACAGTTAGCTGACCCGTAAAACTGATAAACACTATTTGAGATTATAATTTCGCTTCAGAGCCCATTGGAACAATCCTAACAGCGTGACTTATTCTTCTTTGAAAACGTGACTTTACATCGGATGCTCGCTAGCGCCATTTACAGGCTTTGGTGACACGTGAGGAATCATGCAGCAGTACCTAAATGTTTATTAAGAAGATTACTGAACTCAGGGAAATGTAGGACAAGTAGGACAACACATAAAAACAAATTTAGACAACCAAATACTAAAACTCTACTACTCTATACTGTAGGAATATAATAGACAAAATGAAAAAGGAACAAAATACAACAGAATGCAATAATATAAAAAAAGAATCACTAAGCAAACAAACACAAAACTAAATGTGACATTATATAAAT